GCTAGAGTGCCGTGGCGTCCTAGCTCACAGCAACCTCAAACTCCTGGGCTCAAGTGATCCTCCTGCCTCAGCCTCCCGAGTAGCTGGGACTACAGGCATTCGCCACCATGCCCAGCTAACTTTTTCTATATATTTTTAGTTGTCCAGCTAATTTCTTTCTATTTTTAGTAGAGACAGGGTCTCGCTCTTGCTCAGGCTAGTCTCGAACTCCTGAGCTCAAAGGATCCGCCCGCCTGGGCCTCCCAGAGTGCTAGGATTACAGGAGTGAGCCACTGCGCCCGGCCCTCCCATTACTGTTCTTATCCTAATATCTTATTTTGGCACTTTTGAACAAAAGAGAATTGAACTTGTGGGAAATTTTTGTTGTTGTTATTTTTCAGTATACTCAGATCGTTTCAGGTGAATGAAAGAAAAGCAGAGAATAGACAATGCAAACATGAGAAAAGAAATACAGCAATTAAGTGGCAATAGGCTAGAGTCCTTAGAACTTAGAAGAGGATCATGGCAAAATTAAAAATTCTGGGCTATTTCTGGTCTACCAACTAGTTATTATAGACTCGGTATGGCCATGATACACCAAAAAAAAAAAAAGTTTGTTTTAAATAAAGTTAAATTCAACAAGCTCTGCTTTCTATTATCAAAGTGAAATCAAATCTCAGTGAAAGCACTGAAATTCATTAATTGGGGGAAGAGGTAGGAAATCCTTTATTAATTCAGTGGGAAATACTGGTATTCAAAGAACTGTTTTTGGTCATTCCTTCTCCCCTTAACCCACTAGTGCTAAAGATTTCAAGGAACTAATTTGAGAATAGTAACATGCCCCACTAAGTAATTTCAAAACCCAGGTGTTACAGTATAATATAATGAATTAATCACTCTCTTTAAATTTTTAAAACATCTTTCTTAAGGTTTTTCTAAAGCAGCTAATGTCAACAACTCAAGCAGACTTGAGAAACAATCTGTAAGGCAATGGAGTATGTGTGTGTGCGTGTGTGTACACATATATACATAGACACATATGTATGTGTGTCTATGCATATATATGGTAATAATGACCCATAAAATCCAACATTTTAGGAATAAATTGAAGATGCTGCTAACAAAGGGGATACAGGAAGATGTTTATTCAAAAGAGGCCAACAAATTTCTAAAATCTTCTTCTTCTTCTTTTTTTTTTTTTAAAGAGACAGGGTCTCGCTTTGTCGCCCAGGCTAGAGTGCAGTGGTTTGATCACAGCTCACTGCAATCTTGAACTCCCTGGGCTCAAGATCCTCCCATCTAAGCCTCTGGAGTAGCTAGGACTACAGGCACATAACACCATGCCCGGTTAATTTTTTTTTTTTTTTTTGGTAGAGAAGGAGTCTTGCTATATTGCCCAGGCTGGTCTCAAACTCCTGGCCTCAAGTGATTCTCCCACCTGAGCCTTCCAAAGTGCTGGGACTACAGGAGTAAGCTACTGCTTCTGGCATAAAAATTCTTCATTTTAAAGAGAATACCTGATTTTGGCATGTAGTTATTTTTTAGTTGCAGATATTAAAGTTTTAATAGCACAATAACAGGCAGAGTTATGTTCAGTGCTACCATGAAACAATTCTATTAAATGTATCCCAGTAATCTTATTGCTGTTCCATGCACTTCAGCAGAAAAATTACACACTAGAAAAACCAAGTAACTCCCTTCTCGCCCCACACATAGGATGCTATACTGTGTAAGGCAGCCAGAAAGCTGCTGTGTTTCACCTCTGAGCAGAAATAATTGGAGACATGATTTCAGGGTTTCTGTGCAGGGGGAGGGAATGAAGCAATTAATTGAAATGCTAGGGGCAAAAAGAGTGGGTGCTCTCATTCCACTGCCAATTCAAAGGCTAGAAGCCAACCCCTCACTGTCATACTTGCCCTAATGAACAGGAATTTGCATATCTGCATGTATGTATTTTGAGTTGTACACAGACACATCCCTGTTGTGGAGGAGAAAAGAGGTCAAAGTGATAATTTTGAGGGAAAGAATTAGAATTAATTTGGTTTAGATTTAAGAAACCCCAAAATTAATATCCCAGAAGCATAGAATTTTTAACAGTACAGTAGGAAAAGCACAATCTAGTGTAACAGAAATATCTTATTCAAGTTGGGTGAAAAATCACATTCTTCAAAATAATCATTGGCCAGGAATAATTTATGTTGTTCAGGAAGGAAGAAATATTGCTTTTTTTTTCATTATACTACTAATGTAATATGCACATGGAAGTTAGACAGATAAAACAAACTCTGGCGACACAGGCTACTTCTATACTCACAAGGCTACCATAGCAGATGATAGTAATACAAGATGGCTTTGGAAAAAAAAAAGAGAGTAAATGAAAAGCCCTTTGTTTAATGACTGATACCCCCCCTTTACTGCTTATCTGTTGTCCAGTTTATTTTTAATATGTATCATTTATTAAAGACTTTACATACTTTATCTTTAATTTTCACAATAAGACTATAAAGTAGGTATTATTGATCCTATTTTACAGATAAGAAAACTGAGGTCCAGGGATAGTGAGTAACATGTCATGGAAGTGGCAAGGCCAGGATTAGACCTCACAACAGTCTACACCCCTACTGCCAGCAGTAACCTCATGATTCTTTTTTTTTTTTTTATTTCAGCATATTATGGGGGTACAGATGTTTAGGTTACGTATGTTGCCCTTGCCCCCACCCAAGTCCGAGCTTCAAGCGTGTCCATCCCCCGGATGGTGCGCATCGCACTCTTTGTGTATGCATATACCCGTCCCCTTCCTCATGATTCTTGATGGGCTTGGGACTTGAGCTCTGTATCTATTACCTAGCAGAACCAATACTTCTTCAGGGAAAGAAGGATGTTTGGAAGCATTATAGGCTGAATTGTGTTCCCCCAAAATTCATATGTTGAAGCCATAATGCCTAGTATCTCAGAATGTGACTATATTTGGAGAAAGGACGTTTAAAAAGGTGATTACGTTAAAATGAGATTCTTTAGGGTTGGCCTAATCCAATTTGACTAGTGTTCTTAGAAGAGAAAATTTGGATGCACAAGGAAACACCAAGGGCGTGTGCCCAAAGAGGAAAAGACCATGTGAGGGTGGCCATCTCAAACTGGAATAGAAGCCTCTGAATGAAGCCAATGCTGCCAACACCTTGATCTTGGAATTCTAGCCTCCAGAACTGTGAGGATATAAATTTCTGTTGTCTAAGCCACCCAGCCTGTGGTATTTTATTATGGCAGTACAGTCAGAGCAAGCTAATATAGGAAAAGAGAAGAAATACATCGACTGGGAAGGTAACAGTAGCTCATCTGTTGTTCAAGACTGGACGGGGAAGTGTTACAGATTTTGGCCTTGTTGTTAATGAGGCAGGAAAAAGTTCCATCCCTGGGGTACTGAAGGATTACAGGATTGTGGCTACATGGTGGGAACACACTCTTTCCAATGTATTCTTCTCATACTACTCTTTCTCACACACAGAAACATGGCTGAAATGTCCCTGCAACTCTAACACACACACCCTAACAAGCAAGGTACATGATAAATTAAAAGCATTTCAAGGCATGGCCCAGTGTTGTTACCTCAGATCTTGCTAGAATAACATGACATTTATAAAAATACAACCCACTGGATGTTTGGCACTGCTTGGGAATGAAGAATATGTCCACTTAAGAGCCAATACCCCAGGCTGTCAAAAAAATCTCAAGCCAGGATTTCTTTTATAAACATTACCTATCTTTTAAAATTCTGTAGCCTAGGAGGTGAAAAAAAATCTGCTTATTTCCAAGTCTCCTTTTGCTTAAACACAATAAATGTAAACCATACGCAAGAATATGCTACATTCTTAGTCAAGGCACATTGACAGAACAGCTCTGTGCACCTGGCAAAAAGCCTCAATGCTCACATCTCTCACTCTGGGTCACCCCACCCCCAACGCACCCCTACACAGAGCTCACACTTTACCAACACCAACCACCTCCAATCCCAACGCACACTGAAAGGGGGTATTTACGGATTTTTTTTCAGATACCAGCCAAATAATGTTCCCGTTCACTCTCTTGCTCACCTTAGACCATACAAAATTTAACATCTGGAAGGATAAACTCAGCCCCTCACACATGTGACAAGGGGGAACAGTCACCAAGGAGTTCTCCAGCAATGAGAGGTTGCCAGCTTCTCTCTGAGGTCCAGGCCCTGAAAGGCCAACTGTGGTATGTTTGAGTTTCCATCAGGCCGCGTGCTTGCTGGCTGCTCCTATGCTCAGTAAGAGCCTCACGGCCCAACTGTCCCATAAACATTCTGCCCTTCTGCGGACAGTGGCCTGCCTAGCCTTAATTTTTAGAGCCGAGAATATGCCGTTTAAGAGACATGGCCTGAATGTTAACTGTCACTTGGAACACAGCTGACCTCTCCAGGCCAGTGCCTGCTCTAGGAAACACACGTGCACGCACACACACACACACACACACACTCACATTCACACTCACTCTCACATGTACAAAATAAAAATGGGAAGAAAAGCTCCGATTTTCCTCACCATGTGCCACCCAGCCATGTTTACACTGATCACAAGTCCTCAGGTTAATCTTCCCTGGCTGAAAACATTCACACGTGCAGTTTACCAGTGTGCAGCGGATGGCCTGAAAAATAAAGGAGGTAAAAAAACATCAGCATCTGTTCAAAGATACTCTATTTTTTTCAACATTTTAATAAATAATGCCCACTTCCATGTTTAAAGGCTTTATGTTGATAGGGGCCTAGAGAGTTTTAAAAATAAGTTTTGATATCATCAAAATCTCTTAACAACAAAAAAAGCTCATTCACTAATACATTTTGCATCATTCATAATATATATATATATATATAAATTAGAAACACAGACCAAGTAGAATAAGAATAAAGGATCACATACTCTGTAAGATACTGGATTTATAACACCAGAGATCCAAAGAGGAAAAAAAATTCCTGCTAATATATATTTCCACTTAAGTTTATTTACTTGCCAATTAATGCAAAAAATACATTCTAATAAATCAATATTCAAGTGAAATGTTTGCAAAACATGGCAAATATTATTATTAGAGTATTACTTTCTTCTGGTGAATTTCGATTAAATGATTTGCTAATCTTTCAGATATATTTTAAAAGACACTCTTGTTGGCCCAATAAGACCTAAGATATTTTGTTATTGTTTATCACATCTGAATTCTCTTGGGATTTTTTTTTTTGATTTGTTAATTCTATTTTCATTTTTGTTTTGAAAAATACAAAATGATCCTCTTTTATTTTAATGGTGATATAAGAAAGTTTACATTTTGTTGTTAGATCAGATATAGAACAGGAAAAGCCATTTATGTGAACATATTATATATGGAACAGTACAACTATATCATAGAAAACCTGAAAAATAAAAAATCTCTCATTTCCTTACAAGTACTTTAAAAAAAACCATCTCATCAGGCCGGGCGCGGTGGCTCATGCTTGTAATCCTAGCACTCTGGGAGGCCGAGGCGGGCGGATTGTTTGAGCTCAAGAGTTGAAGACCAGCCTGAGCAAGAGTGAGACCCCGTCTCTACTAAAAAAAATAGAAAGAAATTATCTGGACAACTAAAAAACTATGTAGAAAAAATTAGCCGAGCATGGTGGCGCATGCCTGTAGTCCCAGCTACTCGGGAGGCTAAGGCAGTAGGATCGCTTGAGCCCAGGAGTTTGAAGTTGCCGTGAGTTGGGCTGACGCCACGGCACTCACTCTAGCCAGGGTAACAGAGTGAGACTCTGTCTCAAAAAAAAAAACCATCTCATCAGTTTATCTTACAAAGTGAATCCACAGAAAATTAGCATAAATGGAGTGTAACTTTTTATGAATAATCTATATTTAACAATTGTGCTAAAGCTAACCTATGCTCCTTAAATGTATGAGATAAAGTCAATACATTTATCTCATACATTTAATTCTAATTTGCATGGAAATTCTGAAGACAGAATGGATTTATTTTGATCATTCACAGATTAACAATCTACTGTAACTACCTGAACTGCCAGGAAAAGATCTCTCTGCAGATTTAGATGCAATCAGTGATTGCTGATTTTGGGGTGGTGGGCACGGGAATATCTGAAACTCTGTGCCTGAAAGATGCACTCACATAGCTCCAGATGCTCACACTTCTGGAACCATTTGGTCTTTTATATAAACTGTCCCATTTGCAACAGGCAGTATTTTAGATATTGTTTTTATTTTATTTTTTTATTTTTTCCTTATAGCAAACATTGCCTGGTAAAGTATTTTAGATATTGTTAACATGGTTGGGACAAATTCTTATTCTTTACAGAGAATAAGCCTGAATGGGCTTTTACTGTTCCCAGTGCTCTGGGGATCAGGCAAGTGTAAAGTATTTCTCTTTCATTAATTAACATTAAATCTATCGATCCCTATTCAGTGTCAGATGTTGGAGTCCTCACTCTAGACTCCATTCACATTTCACCCTCATCCCTAATTTGCTCTTCTGTTTTCTTCCAGGGAAGTATTCAATTGTATAATCTGTCTGATATTTCAGGGTCTCTCTTCCAATGTCAACAGTCCATTGCACATTAGCCAGCTTGTGAAAGTTTGCTGTATGTATTGGTGATTAAAGGAATCTGTAGGTTATAAAGGAAATTATTTTCCCGAAAGTTCTTATTTCAATTTCAATGATTTATTAACTGAGAAACATATTAGAACATCCCAGGTCAGAAACAGTTTCTTTAAGTAACATGTTCATTAGTTAATGAACTCACAACTTGACTGTACTATGACCAAAATAAAAAGAGTTTAGGAAACAGTGTTTCCACTTAAAATAAGGCACTTGACAAACTAATTATAAATTCAGATATGGGAGCTACGTTGACATTAAAGCATTTATATAATTTGAAGTACAATAATAGAAACTTTCATAAATGCTTAAAAAAATACCCTCTGCTTTACAAAAATCAAAGGAGGACCAATAAAAAAGATGATCTTTCAAGGACAGCTACATATAAACTCCAGCATAAAATACATAAATACTTTAAGTCACTAATTTGATAATAGTTAATTATTTTACAAAAATATACTAATTTTGTATTGTGTTTAAAGTATACTTCCATAAACTTTAATTGTAGTTATGTTCAAGATCAGAGCAAATTAAGAGTGTGAATTTATTTTTATGTATGTTTATTTCTCAACTGGTTGAATCATTCATTCGCTTACTCTGAACTAGTTTATGATTCAAATATTTTGTCTTCCTAAATAACTTTATACATCTGGTACATCTGGGAGTTAAACTTTTCAGATCATCATCCTTTTTTATAAATTCTACTCTTTTTGTACCTAAACATACAAACATTGGAACACCTCAACTCCTTTTGTATATAAACACTTAAGCACTGGAATATCCATTTTGTATTTCTATGAATTCCAGAAGGTCTATTTGTTTTAAATTCAGATTTATATAGACTACAATTGTCCCTTAAGGGAATTACATATATTTAAACAATATGGTCTAAATAAATATTTTGAGTAAGAGACTATTGTGGCTTCAAAGGAAGTTTTATTCTAAATAACATTTTTGAAACGGCATAAAACTTTGACATACTATTTATTCACAACAAAACAGAACCAATGTGATCACTTGCCAACTCACCCACGCTTAAAAAACATAAATTATCATAAAACTATCAAAGCCAGTTAAGCCTCAAAAATGTACATGTTATAAGGAGACATTCGGGAAGAGCAGAAATGAACAAGCTTTCACTTTTGGGAGCACATCACTTCTTCCTTCATTCAGCTAATGTCTGAATGCCTCTAACTCTTTTCTGGGCACGCTGAACAAGGCCAAGCTGTATGTGTTACGTTATCTGAACTACAAGCTTTGAAAATGCAGAGATGAAGAAAAGAAGAGACAGTTCAGTCAGACTGTCCCCACCCATATATGCAGGGATTAGTATTCAGGTCTGGGTGAGGCAGACCTCCAGGATCCTGACCCATGAAAGGTGCTCTGTAATTCTTTCCTCAATTCTTACATGGTCAGCATTTCGTCAACTCCCCAACAACAATAACAACAATACGTTTTCTTAAGCCTGCAACTTATTAAAGTAATTATTTCTTCTGCTTACCTTTATCATGGATTTCTTGAAGAAGAAATCCATGCACCCAGCAACCAACGCTTCCACTTCCTCACCACCACCTACATTTTAATTCTGCAATCTGGATTCTGCCCCACGCTGCTCCTGAAAGTGCTCTCTCTGACAAGCGATGTTCTCATCACATCTGGTCATTTTTTCTAGCCTCTTTGTCCCAGACTGTGATGCAACTCTCCTTCATTCCTGGGCAGGAGAGACTGACTATCCTCGTTTTTCTGGCAGCAACTGCTGACTCTCTCTCCACTGTAAATAAATACAGGTGTTTCCCACGACCAGGCTCTTCATTCCTTAATTTGGCAATTTCATGCCCTCCTACAGCTTCAAATATCATCACTAAGCAAGAAGCATCACTTTGGAGCCAGGCACTGCCTTAAGTGGCAGGAAATGAATGATAGTGTCCCTGTGCTCAAGGACTTGACAGTTTGGGGTTTGTGGGCAGTAGATTTAGACGAGAGACCCTAAGAATAAAAAAGAGGCCCTTAAACATGTTTGAGAAGCATGATCTCTCCCTCTTTATTCCTCTGTGCTTTCCTCTACCAAAGCAAGATTTTTAAATTTATTTATAGCAGCAAACTATTACCTGTTATAATTAATAATATAGCTAGATTTATTGAATATATGCTGTTTTTCAGACATTGTACTAGGCAGCTTACAAATATTGGCCCTCTTAATCCTCAGAAAATAGCATGAAGTTGTTACTATTAATTATTACCTTTATTTCACCAGTGAAGAAACTGAAGTAGAGATAATTCACTACTTTAAAGTCACTAAACTAGTAAAGTCGCAGATCCAGGAATCAGACCCTGGTCTGTGTGAGCTCTCCATGCCATGAACTAGGAATTTTGCAATACAGTCCCACTCACAGCAAGGCAGTCATGGGCCAGCATTTTCACTGACATTCTTCTTCCTCCAAAAATGATTTATCCCTGCCTTTCCTGTCTTCCACTCTCACTGTTACTACCACGATTAGTCCTTTTTCTAGAATATTCAAACTGGCTCCTAATAACCTACCCATTCCTCTTTTCTCCCCATCTCAGTGAACATTCTCTCAGAGTCCCACATCTCTGATCTTTTTGTATGGCATTAGCTTTGTTGAGATTATTTTCAAACTTCTGTTCATCTCCTCCTACTTGAGTAAAAAGAGTGGATGTCGATCCTTACTGGTTAGACAGTGGACGCCTCTGTCACCCCACCTTCTCCTTGACTATTTTTCCAAAGGAATGCTCTCTACCTGCCCACCTTCCAACCCCACTTGCACTATGAACTACTACTTATCCTTCAGATTTCGACCCAAGGATCACTCACTCCCCAGGGCAGGTGCCATCTCCTATTCAAGGCAAGTTCCCGTTAGTCTCCTGTATCACAACGCATCTGTCATAGCACTTATCACAGGTTGTGAATGTTATATTTATCCGTGTGATTATTTGACTTGAGTCTGTTCCCCCCTCTAGGATTTAAGTTCCATGAGGGCAGCCCAACATGT